GCTCGAGCTGCCTCAGCACATAGTAGCTGCCCCAGAAGTAATTGGCAGGGGAACATGCCATAAGGACGCGCCGCGGAACGTCCCAAGGGACGCGCCAGGCGACGTGCCAGGGGACGTGCCACGGGGACGCACCGCGGGACGTGCCGAGGGGACGCGCTACGGAACGTTAGAATGCGTGGTCCTTGCTCGAGGCAACCATGTTAGACATCCCCCTGGATGGCCTGGACACCTAAAAACACACGGTTCCAGCGCGGGAAACCATGCTATAGACACCCCTGAATAGCCTAGACTCGTTACAACACGTGGTCCTTGCTCAGAACAATCCTGTTAGATACCCCCCTGGGTGGCTTGGAAGCGTAAGAACACGTGGTTCAAGCCCGGGACAACCATACGAGATATCCCCCTGGGTGGCCTGGACACGTAAAAACATGCGGCTCCAGCTCGGGACCACCATGTTAGATACCCCCCTGGGTGGCCTGCACACGTAAAAATATGTGGTCCAGCCCACCCCAGGGGGATCTCTAACATGCGGTCGTCTGGAGCGCATGAGGGCCCAGGAACGCCCAGGAGGCGCCTGGAGGCCAACAAGCAAAACGAACCGATACCAAATACTTACAAACAAGTGGCACGCGCGCCCTGGCTCTTGCACCAAAGGAGCTGCGAAGGACTGGGGGCCCGCGCCTCCTTCTTCCAGGAGGGGGTCCAATCGGTGTAAGTGTTTATCCCGGAGTCGGTTTTCATAACGTTCGGGGGGAAGGGAGCCCCGGGGGGGGGGGGGGCGGCGAGCAAGGGGGCGGGGGCCGAGGGGGACGAACCACCACAGACCACTACCAAAAGAAAGGATTCCGCGGCCCAGGGGGGCTGCCCTAAGGGTGGGTGGCCCAGGGGAGCTGGGGCTCCGGCTCAGGGGAGGGGCCGAGGGGGACGAACCACCACGAACCACGAACCACGACGAAAACAAGGATGTCCGCGGCCCAGGCGGGCTGCCCTGGGAAGCCTGGACGGAGCAAGCCTCCAAAGGGTGGGTGGCCCAGGGGAGCTGGGGCTCCGGCTCAGGGGAGGGGCCGAGGGAGACGAACCACCACGAACCACGACGAGAAATAAAGATCTCCGAGCTCTAGATCTCCGGTAACTGGTTAACAATTGTATTGTACTAGTTCGCGCGCGCGGGGCGGCCCCTGGGGGTCCCCCGGCGAAAAGTACCCCGCCCGCCGCCTGGGAAGGTCCCGCCCGGTTCAACTCAGAGATGGTTTTCCTTCTGGGTGCGGCCTCTCAGGCCGCCCTGAGCGCGCCAAGAGTGCCCCAAGAGGCCCCCAAGACTGCCCAAGAGGCCCCCGAGACGCCCAAAGAGCGCTCGAAGACGCCGAAGATGACCCCAAGACGGCCCAAAAGGCCCCCAAGACAGCCCAAGAGGCCTCCAAGACGCCCCAAGAGCCTTCCAAGAGGCCTCCGAAGAGAGCCCCAAGAGGCCAAAATCGTTGATTTTCATTGTTTTTTTCTATGTTTTTTGTGTTCTGGCTTTTTCGGCTTCCGGACGCTCCAAGACGGCCCAAGAGGCCCCCAAGACCGCTCCAAGACGGCCCACGAGGCTCCCAAGACGGCCCCGGAACGGCCCAGGAGGGCCCCCAAGACGGCCCAAGTGCCGCCCAAGACGGACCAAGAGGCCCCAAGACGGGCCCAAGAGGGGCTCAAGAGGGGAACCGAGAACTGAAAAATCGAGCCCTCCGCCCCAGAAGGCGCCCAGGAGGCCCCAAAAAGGCCCCAAGAGGCCCCCAAGAGGCCCCCAAGACGCCCCAAGAGGCGCCCAAGAGGCCCAAAAGAGGCCCCAAGAGGCCCCAAAACGGCCCCCAAAACTCGGCTAGCCCACAACGGTGCGACAATATGGGCCGGCGGAATGAGCGAAGCGATTAAATAAAGATCTCCGAGCTCTAGAGCACAACTGTGCAAGGAACAAACTCTCGACGCTCCGTTCCGAGTACCAGCAAGGATCCAGGAGGCCCATATTAGATACCCCCCTGGGTGGCGTGGACACGTGAAAACACACGGCTTCAGCTCGGGACCACCGATTTAGAAACTCACCTGGGTGGCCTGTACACGTGAACACACGTGGTTCCGGCGCGGGACCACCATCTTAGACACCCCCTGGGTGGCCTGGGCAGGTGAAAACACATGGTTCCAGCTCGGGACCACCATGTTAGATACCTCATGGGTGGCTTGGGCACGTAAAAGCACGCGGTTCCAGCTCAGGACCACCATGTTAGGTACCCAATTGGGTGGCGTGAACACGTGAAAACACACGGTTCCAGCGCGGGGCCACCATGTTAGATACACCCTCTGGGCGACCTGGGCACGTGAAAAAACGTGGTTCCAGCGCGGGACCACCACCTTGGACACCCCCTGGGTGGCCTCGACAGGTGAAACACGTGGTTCCAGCTTGGGACCAACATGTTAGATACCCACCTGGGTGGCCTGTACACGCAAAAACACGTGGCTCCAGCGCGGGACCACCATTGTAGATACCCACCTGTGTAGCCAGGACACGGGAAAACGTGGTACCAGCTCGGGACCACTATGTTAGATACCCATCTGGGTGCCCTGGACACGTGAAGCGACGTGGTTCCAGCTCGGGTAGAACATGTTAGATACCCCCCTGTGTGGCCAAGGACATCCTGGAAAAACAAGCGAATTAGTCGAGACATCCTCGAAATTCCTGCGCGCGGGACGCGGCACGCGCGAGACATCTTCGGAATTCCTGCGAGCGGGACGTGAAAACAAGCATTTCGCCTGTGACATCCTCTGAATTCTGGCCCCGAAGGAGCTCCCCGCTCGAGACATCCCCCAACTCTGCAAAACCAGCGTTTCGCTCGAGACATCCTCAACACATTCTGAACAAAACCAGCGTTTCGCCTGTGACGTCCTCAAAAATAATTCCGCTGGCCTCCTTCAAACTCGTCATTGATAGAAAAATAATTCCGCCGGCCTCCTTCGAGTTGAAACCGGGGGTAACAATACTAAACGAGAACCCTGGGCCCACGCCCTTTCTGGGAATTACAAGAGTCTCACGGATTGAGTGCGGGTCGTTTTCAAAACGTGACTCTCACCTTAGCGCCGCGTGCATTCTTTTAAACATTTGCAAGCGTCTCACGGATTGAGGGCGGGTCGTTTTCAAAATGTGGCTCTCGCCCTAGCGCCGCGCGCATTCCTTTTAAAAGTTCGCAAGAGTTCCACGGATTCCAATGATCAACGTCCCAAAAATAATGTTTTTATAAGGATTCCGGGTTATGAGGGTCAACAGTTACGTTGATTCGCTGTGTTGAAGTCTCAAGAATGGTTTCTAGCACGATTCAAGATCGTCAAGACGCAAAAGTCAAATTGATCCGTGGCGTTGGAATCCCGAGAACGTTGTTTGGACATCCTCCAGGGTCTTCAAACCGTTGTCTTCCAACGAGGCAGTTCCCTCAGTGGAAAAGAATCGTTGTAAGGGCCTATGAAGAGGGAGCTTGGAGGGAGGGTTTCCTTCCAACATCGCCGACGACCTTTGGGTTTCCGCTGGTCCTCCTCCTTCTCCTCCCCCTCCTCCTCTTCCCCCTGCTCCTCCTCCTCCTCCTCCTCCTCCTCCTCCTCCTCCTCCTACCCCTCCTCCTCCTCCTCCTCCTCTCTTCCTCCTCCTCCCCCTCCTCCTTCCTCCTCCTTCCCTCCTCCTCCTCCTCCTCCTCCTCCTCCTCCTCCTCCTCCTCCTCCTCCTCCTCCTCCTCCTCCTCCTCCTCCTCCCCCTCCTCCCGTCGTGATTTTCCCTACCTAGGCTCTGCCTAGGAGGGTTCTTACTCTCATGGCTTAAAGGGGCCGGGCAGTGGACAGCGCCCCGGGCGGTTCCCCAGTATCCGCCCCGCGGTTCCCCCAGTTACGTCCCCTTAGCTTAGAGTTGCTTATCTCATCTTAGCATAGCCTAGCTTAACTTAGCTTAGCTTAGCTTAACTGAGCTGAGCTTCGCCTAGCCTAACATAGCTTAGCTTTAGCCTAGCCTACCTTAGCTTAGCTTAGCTCAGCTTAGCTTAGCGCAGCATTAGCATGGCATTGCATATCATAGCATAACACAAAATATCATAGCATAGCATAGCATAGCGCAGCATAGCACAGCGCAGCATAGCATATCATAGCATAGTATATCATATCCTATCATATCACAGCGCAACATAGCATAACATAGCATGTAGATGTAGATGTAGATGTAGGTGTAGATGTAGGTGTAGATGTAGGTGTGAGTGTAGTTGTAGCTGTAGCTGTAGATGTAGATGCATATGTACATGTAGATGTAGCTGTAGGTGTAGATGTGGATGTAGATCTAGATGTAGGTGTTATGCTGTACGTTTACTACAACAACTACTACTACTACTACTACTACTACTACTACTACTATTACTACTACTACTACTACTACTACTACTACTACTACTACTACTACTACTACTACTACTACTACTACTACTACTACGACGACGACGGACGACGACGACGACGACGACGACGACGACGACGACGACGGACGACGACGACGACGACTACTACTAGTACTACTAGTACTAGTACTAGTACTAGTACTACTACTACTACTACTACTACTACTACTACTACTACTACTACTACTACGACTACGACTACTACTACTACTACTACTACTACTACTACTACTACTACTACTACTACTACTACTACTACTACTACTACTACTACTACTACGACTACTACTACTACTACTACTACTACTACTACTACTACTACTACTACTACTACTACTACTACTACTACTACTGCTACTGCTACTGCTACAACTGCGACGATGAGGAGAGAACGGAGGACGGCGACTACCGTTACTACTAATATTGCTCTCCTCGGGGCTCCAGATCCTAGGTAGGGTCGCTCTGGGATAAGTTTCCTTCGTCGAGGGGATCTGGGCAGGGCGGGACCGCCCGCCGCGGCGGGGGCCGCGCGAGGCGGGGCACCTGCGGCCGCTGCGGCGAGGCGGGCTGCGGCGAAGCGGGCTGCGCCGGCGGCGTCTCCGGCGGCGCGGGGCCCGGGGAGCCCACCTCGCACCTCGGCGCGCCGGCCAAGGCAGGCCCACGAGATCGACAGTCCCAGACCCCCTCAAGCGATGGCAAAAATCACGACGGGAGGTTTTATATTTGGACGCCCGGAATGGGTACGGAAAGAATGGGTACAATGCCCAACAACAAATGTTGCCCCAAACCAAGAGCGGCCGCTGTTGGGCAGGCGGCCTTCTGTCTCGAATGGACACAGGCCGCGGCGGCGTGGACAGCGAGTCCTGTTCAAAATGAACAAGATCCGCTGTTGGGCATTGTAATCATTTTCTCCGTGCCCATCTCGTTCGTGCAGATTCTACGGTTTTCGGCCTCTGGGGGCCCTCCTCGGGCCTCGGGGCCTCCAAACATGATCGACCCACGAACCCGGAAAGGAATATAGACATGTAAGGCCCGGCAACGTCTCAAAGACACCCGATTGGGCGACGGGCAAACGCAATGCTGAGTGGATGTATCGTGCCGAGGGCTGTGCTGTGCAGCGCCGCGCTGAATTGCGATGTGCCATGTCGCGATTGTGCTCTATAGCCTCGTGGATCGAGTCCTCCTTTGCATCCGAGTCCTGACCGAACTGATCTGGATCTTAAGCTCGAGCTGCCTCGGCACTTAATAGCTGCCCCAGAGCTAATTGACGGGAACATGCCAGGAGGACGCGCCGCGGAACGTCCCAAGGGACGCGCCAGGCGACGTGCCAAGGGACGTGCCACGAAGACGCACCGCGGGACGTGCCGAGGGGACGCGCTACGGAACGCTAGAATGCGTGATCATTGCTCGGGGCAGCCATGTTAGATATCCCCCTGGATGGCCTGGACACGTAAAAACACATGGTGCCAGCTCGGAAAACCATGCTATGTTCACCCCTGAATAGCCTGGACTCGTTACAACACGTGGTTTTTGCTCAGAACAATCATGTTAGATACCCCCCTGGGTGGCCTGGACACGTACATGATGGACCCACGAACCCGGAAAGGGACATAGACATGTGCAACATGGTCACATTTTCACGATATCCAACTGGGCGACACCTCACGAAACATCCCACGAGACACCCCGCGAAACATCCCAGGAGACACCTCACGAAACAACCCACGAGGCACCTCACGAAACATTCCACGAGACACCCCGTGCAACATTCCACGAGACACCCCACGAACAGGCAACCACTCAACCAGACACCCCACGAAACATTCCACGGGGGTGCGACTGGGTGTGGTCGTGCTGGGGTGTGGTCGTGCTGGAGTATGGTCGTGTTGGGGTGTGGTCGTGCTGGGGTGTGGTCGTGCTGGGGTGTGGTCGTGCTGGGGGGTGGTCGTGCTGGGGGGTGGTCGTGCTGGGGGGGTGGTCGTGCTGGGGGTGGTCGTGCTGGGGCGTGGTCGTGCTGGGGCGTGGTCGTGCTGGGGCGTGGTCGTGCTGGGGTGTGGTCGTGCTGTGGTGAGGTCGTGCTGGGGTGTGGTCGTGCTGGGGTGTGGTCTTGCTGGGGTGGGGTCGTGCTGGGGTGTGGTCGTGCTGGGGTGTGGTCGTGCTGGGGGGTGGTCGTGCTGTGGTGGGGTCGTGCTGGGGTGGGGTCGTGCTGGGGTGTGGTCGTGCTGGGGTGTGGTCGTGCTGGGGTGTGGTCGTGCTGGGGTGTGGTCGTGCTGGGGTGTGGTCGTGCTGGGGTGTGGTCGTGCTGGGGTGTGGTCGTGCTGGGGTGTGGTCGTGCTGGGGTGTGGTCGTGCTGGGTGGGGTCGTGCTGGGGTGGGGTCGTGCTGGGGTGGGTCGTGCTCGCTCTTGCTGGGGTGGGGTCGTGCTGGGGTGTGGTCATGCTGGGGTGGGGTCGTGCTGGGGTGTGGTCGTGCTGGGGTGTGCCTTCCGCGCGAGACATCCTCAGAATTCCTGCGCGCGGGGCGCTTTTCCGTGTCGCGGTCGGCTCTGCAAAACCAGCGTGTCGCTCGAGACATCCTCAACAAATTCTGAAACCAAGCGTTTCGCTCGAGACATCCCCAACTCTGCAAAACCAGCGTCTCGCTCGAGACATCCTCAACAAATTCTGAAAAACAAGCGTTTCGCTCGAGACATCCTCAACAATAAGTTCGCCGGCCTCCTTCGACCTCGATATTTATCAGGGAAAAATTTCGCCGGCCTCCTTCAAGTTGGGCACCGGGGACTATGTTTACATACTAAAAGAGAACCCTGGGCCGACGCCCTTTCCGGGAAAAAACATATGGTTCCAGCTCGGGACCACCATGTTAGATACCCCCCTGGGTGGCCTGCACACGTAAAAACACGTGGTCCAGCCCACCCAGAGGGGATATCTAACATGCGGTCGTCTGGAGCGCAGGAGGGCCCAGGAACGCCCAGAGGCGCCTGGAGGCCAAAAAGTAAACGAATCGATACCAAACACAAACAAACTCTCGACGTTCCGTTCCGACTCCCAGGAAGGATCCAGAAGGCCCATGTTAGATACCCCCTGAGTGGCGTGGACACGTGAAAGCACATGGTTTCAGCTCGGGACCACCATGTTAGATACCCCCCTGGGTGGCGTGGACACGTGAAAACACGCGGTTCCAGCTCGGGACCACCATTTTAGATACTCACCTGGGTGGCCTGCACACGTGAAAACACGTGGTTCCAGCGCGGGACCACCATGTTAGATACCCCTGGGTGGCCTGGGTATGTGAAAACACGTGGTTCCAGCTCGGGACCACCATGTTAGATACCTCATGGAGTGCCTTGGACACGTGAAAACACGCGGTTCCAGCTCAGGACCACCATGTTAGATACCCCCCTGGGTGGCGTGGACACGTGAAAACACGCGGTTCCAGCGCGGGGCCACCAGGTTAGATACACCCTCTGGGCGACCTGGGCACGTGAAAGCACATGGTTCTGGCGCGGGACCACCATCTGAGACACCCGCCGGGTGGCCTCGACAGGTGAAACACGTGGTTCCAGCTCGGGACCAACATGTTAGATACCCACCTGGGTGGCATGTACACGTGAAAACACGTGGCTCCAGCGCGGGATCACCATGTTAGATACCCACCTGTGTGGCCAGGACACGGGAAAACGTGGTACCAGCTCGGGACCACCATATTAAATACCCACCTGGGTGCCCTGGACACGTGAAGCGACGTGGTTCCAGCTAGGGTAGAACATGTTAGATACCCCCCTGTGTGGCCAAGGAAATCCGGGAAAAAACCAACGAATTAGTCGAAACATCCTCGAAATTCCTGCGCGCGGGACGCGGCCGGCGCGAGACATCCTTGGAATTCCTGCGAGCGGGATGTAAAAACAACCATTTCGCCTGACATCCTTTGAATTCTGGCCCCCCACGAGGTCCCCGCTCGAGACATCCCCCAACTCTGCAAAACCAGCGTTTCGCTCGAGACATCCTCAACGAGTTCTGAAACACAAGCGTTTCACTCGAGACATCCTCAAAAATAATTCCGCCGGCCTCCTTCAAATTCGTCATTCATCGCAAAATAATTCCGCTGGCCTCCTTCAAGTCGAAACCGAGGGTAACAATACTAACACAGAACCCTGGGCCCACGCCCTTTCCGGGAACATGATCGACCCACGAACCCGGAAAGGAATATATAAATGTAAGACATGGCAACGTTTCAAAGACACCTGTTTGTGCGACGGGCAAATGCAATGCTTAGTGTATCGATCTTGATGTACCGTGCCGAGGGCTGTGCTGTGCTACGCCGTGCTGAACTGCGATGTGCCATGCCACGATTGTGCTATAGCGTTGTGGATCGAGTCCTCCTTTGCATCCGAGTCCTGACCGAACTGATCTGGATCTTAAGCTCGAGCTGCCTAAGCACATAACTAGTAGCTGCCCCAGAGCTGATTGACAGGGGAACCTGCCAGGAAGACGCACCGCAGAACGTCCCAAGGGACGCGCCAAGCGACGTGCCAGGGGACGTGCCATGGGGACGCACCGCGGGACGTGCCAGGAGGACACGCTACGGAACGTGCCAATGGACGTGCCACGGGACGTGCCAAAGGACGCACCAAGCGAGGTGCCAGGGGACGTGCCACGGGGACGCACCGTGGGACGTGCCAAGGGTACGCGCTACGGAACGTGCCAATGGACGTGCCACGGGACGTGCCAGGGGGCGCGCCGCGCGACGTGCCAGGGGGAGTCGCCACAGGACGCGCCACTGAACGTGCCAAGTTGCAATGCTGAGTTTATCGATCTTGATGTACCGTGCCGAAGGCAGTGCTGTGCTGCGCCGTGCTGAATTGCGATGTGCCACGTGACGATTGTGCTCTATAGCGTTGTGGATCGAGTCCTCCTTTGCATCCGAGTCCTGACCGAACTGATCTGGATCTTAAGCTCGAGCTGCCTGAGCACATAGTAGCTGCCCAAGAGCTAATTCACGGGGGGTCATGCTAGGAAGACGCGCCACGGAACGTTCCAAGGGACGCGCCAAGCGACGTGCCAGGGAACGTGCCATGGGGACGCACCGCGGGACGTGCCAAGAGGACGCGCTACGGAACGTGCCAATGGACGTGCCACGGGACGTGCCAAGGGACGCGCCGCGCGACGTGCCAGGGGGACTCGCCACAGGACGCGCCACGGAACGTGCCAAAGAACGTGCCAGGTTGCAATGCTGAGTGAGTGTATCGATCTTGATGTACCGTGCCGAGGGCTGTGCTGTGCTGCGCCGTGCTGAACTGCGATGTGCCATGCCGCGATTGTACTCTATAGCCTCGTGGATCGAGTCCTCCTTTGCATCCGAGTCCTGACCGAACTGATCTGGATCTTAAGCTCGAGCTGTCTGAGCACGTAGTCCACGTAGTAGCTGCCCCAGAGCTAATTGACAAGGAAACATGCCAGGAAGACGCGCCGCGGAACGTTCCAAGGGACGCACCAGGCGACGTGCCAGGGGACGTGCCACGGGGACGCACCGCGGGACGTGCCAAGGGGAAGCGCTACAGAACGTGCTGGGGATAAGCGTCGTGTTGGTGGCCTGGACACGTAAAAACACGGTGCCAGCTCGGGACAACCATGAG